CTGTGCTAAGGAAGCTGTGCCCCAGATTCCCTGGCCCCCAGGAACCCCGAGGAAATGACGGTTTGTTGTTTTCAGCTGCTACCTCTGGGGATAACTTCTCACGCAGCAGTGGGTGATGAACACAGTGACCATCTCTGGGAAACACAGCTGCCACCTGGTCCCGGCCAGCGGCCAGCATCCCTGCGTGGATGAGCTCTCTCAATGAGCCTGCATCAGTCTTCGCTCTCATCGCACGCCTGGTCTCTCTGCCCCACTCAAGCATGGCGACGCTGCACCGTCACCCAGTGGCCCATGTGAATAGGTAAAGAGGGAGGATTTACTCCCAGACGGTTTTACCCCAGATCTCAGGGTCTGGTCACATTGGCATGCACCTTTCTTCTCTAAAAGGAGATGTTTTAAGAATGATAACCAGCCTTGGACGGTGTTTCCGGTTTGTTTGTTCGTTTGTTTGTTTTTGCTTTTAATATATTTTTATTGATTTTACAGAGAGGAAGGGAGAGGGATAGAGAGCTAGAAACGTCGATGAGAGAGAAACATGGATCAGCTGCCTCCTGCACGTCCCCTACTGGGGATGGAGCCCGCAACCAAGGTACATGCCCTTGACCAGAATCGAACCCGGGACACTTCATTCCCCGGGCCAACGCTTTATCCACTGAGCCAAACCCTGGTCAAGGGCATGTACCTGGGTTGCAGGTTGGATTCCCAGCCCTGGTCAGGGCACCTTCAGGAGACAACCAATCCATGCATCTCTCTCACATCGATGTTTCTCTCTCTCCCTCCCTCCTTCCCTCTTTCCACACTTTCTAAAAATCAATGAAAAAAATATATTCAGGTGAAGGTTAAAAAAAGGAAGAAAAAGAATGCGAACCACAGTTTCCCTGTATGCTGTCCAGGTGCCCACACTGACTGCATTTCCCCACCGCCTCTCAGAAAGTCTCACCACCACTCTCTCCTCCATTGGAAAGGCAGCTCCTGGTCTGTTTCCCTCTCCACCAGAGTAATTGTGGAGGAAGACTGTCCCATGACGTGGCCACTGCCAACCCTCAGGCCAGGTCCAGCACAGAGACTGTTTCCCATAAATCCCTTAGAGATCGTGTCTGACCCCTCCCCTCGGCCCCAGACATGCTGGTCCCTGGCCCTGCCCTGGCCAAGTATGTAAGGCATTTTCTCCTTACATTTTCCCCTTCTCTGGGGCAGCTCACGCCCCAGGCCCACATCCACCCTGCCCTGTCCTAATAGCCCCCTAGGACCGGCCACGTGGCACAGAGGCTCTCCATGTCATGTTGCCGCCCCCCAGGGCGCGCCTCCTGTGGGGCTCCCGTAATAAACTCTGGATGTGATGATGGAGTCGCTGGCCTCTTTCTCTGGCCTCTCAGCCCTGGGACATTTTATGTCGCAGGAATGTCCGGCACTCAGCATTTACTGAATACAGAAGACCCGCATCTGCATCCGGAGGAAGAAGTGGAAAGTCCTGCTTTTCCTCCTTCTCCCACCCCAAGGCCAGGCCCGGAGGGGAGGTTCTCGCACTCACACACCACCTCCTCACACACCACCTCCTCTGCATACCGCCCAGACGGCCCTCCACCCCACCAGGACGCCCCAGGGGGCACTGTGATCTCTTCGTTGATGCTCCTGGGAACTTGAAGGCAGAGTGGGCCTCTCCTGTGTCTCCTTCTCTCCTCCGGCCCTACAGTAGGCACAAGTGCTATGATCCCATTTTAGGGATGAGCAAACAAAGCCCTTCTGTGGGTTCCGTCATGGACTCAGGGTCGTAAGTGGCAGAGAGGCATGTTGAACTCGATCTGAATCCCCCTCCCCCTGTCTTAAAACAAAACTCAACACAAACTTTTTTAAAAATATATTTTTTTATTGATTTCAGAGAGGAAGGGAGAGGGAGAGACATGAGAGAGACTCATTGATCGGCTGCTTCCTGCACGCCCCCTGCTGGGGGTCGAGCCCACAACCCAAGCATATGCCCTTGACTGGAATCAAACCTGCGACCCTTCAGTCCACAGGCCAATGCTCCATCCACTGAGCCAAACCAGCCAGGGCTCAACACAAACATGTATTGAGTACTTAAGTGCAGGCTCTGGTCTAAGCACTTCACACACATTAATGTCTTTTCTTCTCCCGGCAACTCTGTGAGGTGGGGGGCTGCTGTTCCTCCCATTTTGCAAATGGGAAGGCAGAGGCCCTGAAATGGAGCGCCCAGCAACAATGATCCTCTTCTGATCCCACACCTGCTTGCTCAGACACCTAGACATATTTTAAAGCTGTTGTTGTTCTTTGAACAGCATTATCATGAAATCAGATAGAAAAATAAGTAGTTTAAAGAAAAATCGGGATGAGTATAGATCAAGTTTAATGGGGATTAGCCCTGGCCAGGTTGGCTCAGTGGATAGAGCATCGGCCTGCGGACTGAAGGGTCCCAGGTTGGATTCCGGTCAAGGGCACCTACTTCGGTTGCAGGCTCAATCCCTGGCCCTGGTCGGGGCACATGTGGGAGGCAACCAATCGATGTGTCTCTCTCACATCGATGTTTCTCTCTCTCTGTCTTTCCCCCTCCCTTCCACTCTCTCTAAAAATCAATGGAAAAATATCTTCAGGTGAGGATTAACAACAACAACAAAAATTAATAGGTGTTACCCCAGGGGCAAGGGCAATGAGATACCCTCTTCTATTATTATTATTATCATTATTATTTAAGAATACATGAAGAAATTCTAGCAAAAGAATTCCCCCAAAGGGAGACATATAGGAAAGAGAATGTGCCCCACCTCTCTCCCTCCTCAGGAGCCAGAGCTGGCCACGATTTCCTCCCACATCCTGTGTCCCCTGGGCCCCAGGGTCACAGGCAAAACCATAACTTGACGTTTCCTTTTCCTGTGTATACACAGTTCCCCTTTCTAAATCAGACATCTCGTAACGTTTAACTTTTGCAATCAGGGAGGAAAAGGCAAAGCATCCTGTTGTTTTGTTTTGTGGGGAGGGAGCTATCCGTGAATTTGAAATTGCAAAATTAAAATATGAAGAGATGAAAATGACGTGGCTATCCCAGCTCTCAGAGCTAAGGGGTTGGTGTGGGCACCTCTTTCGCCTTCCCAGTACCTTTCCCACGAGCTTTCTGGAACATAGGATCAAAGTTTAACTGTGGGGCCTGGCTGGTGGCTCAGTGGTTAGAGCATTAGCCCATTCACCAGCATCATGGGTTCGATTCCCAGTCAAGGGCACGTACCTGTATTGCAGGTCAGGGTGCATGTGGGAGGCAACCAGTTGATGTGTCTCTCGTACATCAGTCTCTCTCTCTCTCTCTCTCTCTCTCTCTCTCTCTCTCTCTCTCTCCTCCCCCCCCCCCCTCCTTCCCTTCCACTCTCTCTGAAAAGCAATGGAAAATATCCTCAGCTGAGGATTAACAACAACAAGAAGCAAACACAGGTCCTTGATGGGTTGTTTGACGTCTCCCAAATCCAGTGTGCATTTGACACTAGCGGCACATCTGGATTAAGACCTGCCAGGTTTCAAGGGCCCAGATGCCAATGGCTCCCCTGTCGGGTGGCACAGGCCCACAGGGTTTATCCATGTCAGCTCCCGGTACCCTCACAGCAACTCTATTCCCACTCAGATGGCAACACTGAGGCCCGGAAGGGCAGGCACTTGCTCAGAGAGCCAGCCCTGGACTCAAACCCAGGCTGCCTGGTTCCAAGTGCACCCTTGACCTCCGTATTTCTCATCTTCAGGTTCAGCTTGAAGGGGCATTGCAGTCAGGGGCCACACCACTTCTGAGCTGGTGCCCTGCGCGGACTGCTTCATCGCTCTGAAACTCAGGTTCCTCGTCCATAAAAGGGACAGTGGCACCTAAGAAAGAAGGCTTGATAGGCTCAAGCCCAGAGGACACCCCGGTCAGCCTGACGTCCGGCGAACCCGGAGACACTCGGGGTATTTTTGCTGTTGTGATTTCTCCACTCACCGAATTCATCTGAGCAGAGCCCCAGACGAGTTACCCAACCTGTGCACATAATGCATTCCTGGAAATGTGTTTGAAGCCGGTTTCGCAAAACTCGAACAACAGATCCCTGTGTTGTAAAGGGCATTCTATTTACTGAGCACTACGCAAATTATGAAATCCCAGATTACTTCTTACCAGTTAAGGGTCATTGTCAACGATACATTTCCATGCCCCGGCCAGTGTGGCTCGGTTGCACCGTCATCTCGTACACCAAAAGGTGGTGGGTTCAATTCTCAATCGGGGAACATACCCAGGTTTCAGGTTGGATCCCTGATCAGGGCCCACGTGGAGGCAACCAATCGATGTTTCTCTCTCATATGGATGTCTCTCTCTCTCTCAATCTCTCTCCCCACTTCCTCTCTCTGAAATAAAATTTAAGCCCTAACCGGTTTGGCTCAGTGGATAGAGCGTCGGCCTGCGGACTGAAAGGTCCCAGGTTCGATTCCGGTCAAGGGCATGTACCTTGGTTGTGGGCACATCCCCAGTGGGGGGTGTGCAGGAGGCAGCTGATCCATGTTTCTCTCTCATTGATGTTTCTAACTCTATCCTTCTCCCTTCCTCTCTGTAAAGAATCAATAAAATATATTTTTAAAAAATAAAATAAAATTTAAAAGTTATATTTAAAAAAAAAAAAACAAGTTCTATTTCCAGGGTTTCAAAAAATAATTTGATTAAAATAATAATAATAATAATAATTGGATTTATCATACTGTGCATATTTTGGTTCTAATTACAAAGTGATGGAAGTTTGTTGCTGAAAATAATTCAGTTGTTAGAGAACTATGCGATGTGGAAAGGACAGGCGTTGTGGAGACCCACATGCAGAAATGCCCACAGCGGTTCATGGTGCCCAGGGAGGGACAGTGCCCCCAAGGTTGGCAAGGCCCCAGCTGTCAAAGCGCGGGAATACAGAAAGTGAAAGAAAGGGTTGATTCCGCATGTGCAATGCCTTTGTAGGTTTCTCCAAGTTGCCTCGCCAAAGGTTCTGCCAAGGGACACCCTCTCCAACACTTTGGAGCTTTTCCATTTCCCACACCTCCATTTCTGGCCGTTCCCAAGGTCTTCATTTGGTCAAACTGAGGGGGAAACTGACTGGATTGCAAATAGCGCACACATGCTCCAGTTGTGCCCACTTCCTCCATAATTAAACAATGGTCACCAGCTTAGACCTCTACGGGGTCCGCTGGAGAGTTGCTTTCAGGTCAAGGTTTGCTGCTGCTGGCACGAGCTTTACCTCCCTCCCCTCTCCTTTCTCCTTAATCACACTGACCTTTAGCTTCCAGCAATGAACCAAAGTCCTTCCCACCTCAGGACCTTTGCACATGCTGCTCCCTCTGCCATGAACGCCTTCACTTAGGTAACTCCTATTCACCCCTTGAGCAGATTATTGCAATTAGAAGTAAAAAAAAAAAAAAAAAAAAAAAAAAACCACTCTTTTTCCATTTGTAATAATACTAGAGGCCCAGGGGGTCCCTCAGCCTGGCCTGCGGGGATTGGGCTGAAACCAGCTCTCTGACATCCCCCGAGGGGTCCCGTATTGTGAGAGGGTGCAGGCCAGGCAGAGGGACCCCACCTGTACACAATTGGGGCCAGGGAGGGACCATAGGAGGGCTCCAGGGCGTGTCTGGCCCAGTCCCGATTGGCCAGACCCCAACAGCAAGCTAACCTACCAGTTGGAGTGTCTGCCCCCTGGTGGTCAGTGTGCATCGTAGCAACTGGTTGAATGGTCCAATGAATGGTGGGACACTTAGCATATTAGGCTTTTATTTTGTAGGATGACCAGCTTCATAGTGTTACTATGAGGATCAGAGGAGATACATAGTTTAAAACACTTGGCACAGTGTTTCAGAAAGTTTTAGGATTCAAATCAAGAAGCATGTCCCCAATGAAGCCCTCCCTGACCACCCTACTCAGGTCAGGTTCCCATGTGTTATCCTTTCTCATGGATCTCTCCATTTGGGAAGGGGGGAGTATACCATAGATATGATTAAATAACTGCTTGCAATATTATCTGCTTCATGTTTCTCTTTCCCATTAAGACCATGACTCTGGAAGGGCAGAAATGGTGCCCAGCACCAAGCCCTCCCCGTCAGAAGCACTTGATACATGTCTGTCAAATTAATGAGTAGCCCTAGCTGGTTTGGCTCAGTGGATAGAGAATCGGCTTGCAGACTGAAGAGTCCCAGGTTTGATTCCAGTCAAGGGCATGTGCCCAGGTTGTGGGCTTGATCCCCAGGAGGAGGCATGCAGGAGGCAGCCAATCAGTGCTTCTCTCTCATTATTGATGTTTCTAGCTCTCTCTCCCTCTCCCTTCCTCTCTGAAATCAATAAAAATATATTTTAGCCCTAACCGGTTTGGCTCAGTGGATAGAGCGTCGGCCTGCGGACTGAAAGGTCCCTGGTTCGATTCCAGTCAAGGGCACGTACCTTGGTTGTGGGCACATCCCCAGTAGGAGGTGTGCAGGAGGCAGCTGATCGATGTTTCTAACTCTCCATCTCTCTCCCTTCCTCTCTGTAAAATATCAATAAAATACATTTTTAAATATATATATATATATTTTAAAACAAAAAAGATTAATGAATGGATGGATCAAATAAGCTGCATCTGTGACTCAATTATACTAAAGTGTCAGAGGCTACACTTCTTATCACTGTTATCAGCCTATCCATTTTCTCCCTTTCCACACCTTTTTATAAAGACAAAGGATAAAATGTCGAAATGCTCACACCACTGCACAAACAAGCCACATCTGGCCAGGCCAAGATGGCCCCAAATCTCAAACAGAATTATTGGTGGGTAGGCAGCGCCCCCATGTGATCACTGGGAATGTTTGATTTCGTGTTTATTACAATGCTATTCTGTTTGTCCTTCCAGATCAGCTCTCCCCCACTTCCCCCAAGTCTGTGCCTGAGAGGCGGACAGCGTTGGCTGCTCCCTTGCCGGCCTTGTTTTCTGATGCAATCACTGAGCGCTCCAGCAGGAGAGGGGAGGGTGGGAGGAGAGAGAGGGCATAGGCTGAATCTAGTGACTCAATTTTAGAGTTCAGAGGTGAAACCATGTAACTTCCCAGGCTAGGTCATAAAAAGACACTACTTTTGCCCTAGCCGGTTTGCTCAGTGGCTAGAGTGCCAGCCTGAGGACTGAAGGGTCCCGGGTTCGATTCCGGTCAAGGGTACATGCCTGTGCCCGGGTGGTGGGCTCCATCCCCAGTAGGGGGTGTGCAGGGGGCAGCCAATCAATGATTCTCTCTCATCATTGATGTTTCTCTCTCTCCCTCTCCCTTCCTCTCTGAAATCAATAAAAAATACTATTTTAAGAAAGAAAAGAAAATTTAAAAAGATACAACTTTCACCTGGTTTTCCTTCTCTTGGATCGCTTGCTCTGGGGAGGCCCACTGCCAAAATGGGCGTATACCCAAGCACCTCCAGAAGGGAGAAATTAAGGCATTCCAACAATCAGCATTCACCTGCCAACCATGTGATGAGCCACCTAGGGAGCAGATCCTCCACCCCAGCCCTTCAGATGACTGCGGCCCCACAGACACCTTGATTGCAACCCTGTGAGAGACCCTGAGCCAGAAAAGCTTGGGAAAGATGCTCCTGGATTCCCAACCCACGAAAACTGTATGAAATAACGCTTGGGGAAATTTGTTGTGCAGCAGTAGAGAACAACTATAAACGCTAACAATAGCCCCATGCTTCTGCCCCAGGGCCTTTGCACTTGCTGTTGGCTCTGTCTGGAACTCCCCCCACACACACACCTCCTTCAGGTCTTCCCTCAGATGGTACTTCCCACCACTTTCCCTGACCCCCTTTCTCCATCTCCCTACGTCTGTCTCCCTCGCTAGAATGCCAGCTCTTTCTTTTGTTCCATGCTCTGTCCACAGTACCTGAAACAGTGACTGGCACAGAGTAAGCACTCAATGTGGTGGCCATTATTATGAGAATCTAACATTCCTGATTCTTGTCATAGTTAGATCAGTCTCCCACGTGTTTCCTGCCCACTGGGTGTCCACCCTAACCAGGGGATGGGATATAGCTGTGACCTCCCCTCCATTGGTTAAGTAGCAATTGGCAACTATAATAAGAAAGCCCTTGCCGAAACCGGTTTGGCTCAGTGGATAGAGCGTCGGTCTGCGGACTGAAAGGTCCCAGGTTCGATTCTGGTCAAGGGCATGTACCTGGGTTGCTGGCACATCCCCAGTGGGGGGTGTGCAGGAGGCAGCTGATCGATGTTTCTAACTCTCTATCTCTCTCCCTTCCTCTCTGTAAAAAATCAATAAAATATATTTTAAAAACAAAAAAACAAAAAAACAAAAAAACAAAAAAAAAAGAAAGCCCCTCGATGTCTCCCCACTTCCCTCTGGTTAAAAATCCCAGGTCCTCTGTACAACCTACAGGCCCCCATCCCTGCCTTAAAATTCCACCGTCAGCCACACAGAATCCTGAACTGTTTACAATCACTAATAGTCTCCACAGCCACAAAGCTTTGGGGATCAAGCAGAAAACATTAGAGTAGCTATTTTTTAAAATATGTTTTTATTGATTTCACAGAGGAAGAGAGAGATAGAAACATCAATGATGAGAATTATTGATTGACTGCCTCCTGCACACCCCACACCAGGGATGGAGCCCACAACCGGGGCATATGCCCTTGACCGGAATTGAACCCGGGACCCTTCAGTCTGCAGGCTGACACTCTATCCGCTGAGCCAAACCGGCTAGGACAGAGTAGCTATTTT